CGGCTCACCGCAGCCTCCGCCTCCTGGGTTCAGGCAATTCTCCTGCCTCAGCCTCCTGAGTAGCTGGGATTACAGGCACGCACCACCATGCCCAGCTAATGTTTTGTATTTTTAGTAGAGACGGGGTTTCACCATGTTGACCAGGATGGTCTCGATCTCTTGACCTCGTGATCCACCCGCCTCGGCCTCCCAAAGTGCTGGGATTACAGGCTTGAGCCACCGCGCCCGGCCTCATTTAAGTTCTTTAGCATGATGTATGAGGCCCTAAAAAATGTGGACCTACTTTCAACAATGCCTCTTCTGACAGTCCCTCTCTTGAAAGCCAGAGCCCCAATCATGCTGAAAGACTTTGTGCTGCCTTGTCTCTATGCTTTTGCAAATATTTTCTCTGCCTGATATTCTCCTCCAATTCACCTTCCAATGGTTGGTTCAGATCTTAGCTTCTCTAGGAAACCTAGGAACACATTTCCAACTCTCCTTTCCCCAGGTAGGGTCTATTCTATAGCCTTTTTTTTTTTCTCCCCAAGATGGAGTCTCACTCAGTCGCCCAGGCTGGAGTGCAACGGTGCGAGCTCAGCTCACTGCAACCTCCGCCTCCTGTGTTCAAGCAATTTTCCTGCCTCAGCCTCCCGAGTAGCTGGGATTACAGGCGTGCACCACCAAGCCCCAGTAATTTTTGTATTTTTAGTAGAAATGGGGTTTCGTCATGGTGGCCAGGGTGGTCTCGAATTGATGACCTCATGATCTGCCCAGCTTGGCCTCCCCAAGTGCTAAGATTACAGGTGTGAGCCACTGTGCCCAGCCTATTCTAGAGCTTTTTTATGGCAGCCAGGGCACAGCTGTTTTGAGCAGCTCATGTCACAGGGCTACAATTATTATTATTTATTTATTTATTTTGAGATGGAGTCTCACTCTCGTTGCCTAGGCAGGAGTGTAGTGGTGCAATCTCAGCTCATTGCAACTTCCACCTCCCAGGTTCAAGCAATTCTCCTGCCTCAGCCTCCTGAGTAGCTGGGATTGCAGGCACCTGCCACCATGTCCGACTGATTTTTGTACTTTTAGTAGAGATGGGGTTTCACCACGTTGACCAGGCTGGTCTAGAACTCCTGACCTCAGGTGATCCACCCACCTCGGCCTCCCAAAGTGCTGGGATTACAGGCATGAGCCACCACAGGTGGTCCCATTATTTATGTACAGGTTTGTCTCTCCTATTAGATTGTAAAACTCTGAGAAACGGGAACCTTGCACCTGGCACAATGCTGTACACATAATGGACATTTAGTAAATGCTTGTTGAACGAATAAATAAACTAGAAAAAGTTTCCAGGAGGAGGAAATTAAATCTTTACTTCTTTCTCCCCAACTTCTTCATTGATCGCCCTTCATTGTCTATTTTAGGGAACTTCTCTAAACTATGTCTGCTTAACTGATCTAACTTCCATCTGACTATCCTTCATCCAGCTCCCCTCTAATATTTCCTGACTTTATTTAGTTACTCATTCTAGAGTCAGGATCTTGCTCTGTTGCCCAAGCTGAAGTGCAGTGGTGTGATCATAACCCATTGCAGCCTCAAAGCAATATTCCCACCTCAGTTTCCTGAGTAGCTAAGACTGCAGGTGTGAGCCAAATTTCTCAGCTCCCTGACTTTAATATAGTTGTTATATGTAATTTTTTGGTGCTGCAAAAGAAGTAGCACACAAATATAAATTTTCTCAGCAAGGTAATTTACTTCTATAGAAGGGTGTGTCTCACAGATGGAGCAATGGTGAGCACACACTTGGACAAGGGAAGGGAAGGGGTTCTTTTTTTTTTTTTTGAGACGGAGTTTCGCTCATTACCCAGGCTGGAGTGCAATGGCGCAATCTCAGCTCACCACAACCTCCGCCTCCTGGGTTCAAGCAATTCTGCCTCAGCTTCCCAAGTAGTTGGGATTACAGGCATGCGCCACCATGCCCAGCTAATTTTTTTGTATTTTTAGTAGAGACGGGGTTTCACCATGTTGACCAGTATGGTCTCGATCTCTTGACCTCGTGATCCACCCACCTTGGCCCCCCAAAGTGCTGGGATTATAGGAGTGAGCCACCGCGCCCAGCCCGGGAAGGGGTTCTTATTCCTGATGCAGGTAGCCCCTACTGCTGTGTCATTCCCCTATTGGCTAGGGTTGGACTGCACAGCCTAAACTAGTTCTGATTGGCTATTTTAAAGAGAGCAGGAGTATGAGCTGAAGTGGTGGGGTGGGTAGTTTGGTAGGAAGATGGCTATGGATCAGGTCAGAACAGGTGACCAGGGGTGACTCAGGTCAAAGCAGGTGACCAGGAGAACAGATGTGAACTACTGATTAGAGCTGGTGGGAAAGTTGTTTACCAAAACTAGAGGCAAAGGAGTGCAGAGAATCAGGAAGCTAAACTTTAAAAGGGAGAATTAAAGAATAAGAGAGCTAAACATACCGAGGTACTGATTATTTGAAGAGAAACTTGGAGTTCACTATATCTAACATAGTTATTCTCAGATTATATTATTTCCCTTTCAATTTACATTTCTGACCACTTCTCAATTCTGTCTGTAGAGTAACTCTTTCTCCTCATTTTCTTTTTAAGGTAGGATCTCACTCTGTCGCCCAAGGTGGAGTGCAGTGGCACTATCACAGGTCACTGCAGACTCAATCTCCCTAAGTGCAGGTGATCCTCCCACCTCAGCCTCCCAAGTAGCTGGGACTACAGGTGGGAGACACCAAGACTGGCTAATTTTTTGTTGTTGTTGTTTTTGAGACACAGTCTCACTGTCACCTAGGCTGGAGTGCAGTGGCACTGTCTTGGCTCACTGCAACTTCCACCCCCCAGGTCCAGCAATTCTCATGCCTCAGCCTCCTGAGTAGCTGGGATTACAGCCACCTGCCACCACACCCGGCTAATTTTGGTATTTTTAGTAGAGACAGGGTTTCGCCATGTTGGCTGGGCTGTCTTGAACTCTTGTGCTCAAGTGATCTACCTGCACCGGCCTCCCAAAGTGTTGGGATCACAGGCGTGAGCCATCGCACTCTACCTAATTTTTGTATTTTTTGTAGAGTCTGGGTTTCACCCCATTGCCCAGTCTGGTCTCAAACTCCTGTGTTCAAATGATCCACCATCTCTACAAGAAAAAATGTTTTTAAAAATTAGCCGGGCAAGCCGGGCGCGGTGGCTCACGCCTGTAATCCCAGCACTTTGGGAGGCCGAGGCGGGTGGATCACGAGGTCAAGAGATCGAGACCATCCTGGTCAACATGGTGAAACCCCGTCTCTACTAAAAATACAAAAAATTAGCTGGGCATGGTGGTGCGTGCCTGTAATCCCAGCTACTCAGGAGGCTGAGGCAGGAGAATTGCCTGAACCCAGGAGGCGGAGGTTGCGGTGAGCCGAGATCGCGCCATTGCACTCCAGCCTGGGTAACAAGAGCGAAACTCCGTCTCAAAAAAAAAAAAAAAAAATTAGCCGGGCGTGGTGACACACGCCTGTAGCAAACTTACATTTCTTACACATTATGTAAGCCACCTTAGGATACAGTTCTCAAGTGAGTCCCCCTTTTCAGCACCAATTCTCCATCCCTTCATTGCTCAAACCTTTCCTCCATGGCTGTGTCCCCAGCCCCAGTGGTGCATAACTTTTGTTGATGACAAAAGGTGGCAAACTTCTGTCCTGGGGATAGGTAGGTGAAGTTTTAAGAAATGGTTATTTTCAGGCTATGCAGAATGAGAGTTCTCCATCAAGCCTCACTAGAGTCGGGCTTGATGGTGAAGCCTGCCTGGAGCCAGGCTAGCAGCGACACTGTAAATGACAATCCTTTCTTTTAAACTCCAAACCTAACTAAGCCACGCGTCTCCATGCAAAGGGTAAAAGACTGAAGAGGGGGTGGGAAAGGACAGAAGGCGGAACGTAGCGGGCCTAGAAGGCTTCCAGAGCGTCCCAGTGGACCCTCCTTGCCCCTAAGAACTTCCGCCCCCAGTATCTCCAGGGCTCTGACAGACCGACGCCTGCCAGCTACGTGAGCACGTGGTGGCGCGCGCGGTACTGGGGGCGGAGCCCAGCGGGTATCTGGGAAGCGACGCAGAACGTGCGTCCGTGCGTACGTGCTCGCTCACGGCGGCGGCGGCGGAGCGGAGAGGCCAGAGCCGGAGACCGAGCTGGGATCGGGCCCCGGGCGGGGGCGGTGCGAGCGGCGCCAAGCAGATCTTAGGGGCGGGGACGGAGCCGGGGCGGGCGGGACTGAAGCGGAGCCCGGGAACGGGGCGGGAGGTCCCAGGGTCCCGGGTTGGGGGGGTGGAGCAGCACTTCGTCGCCGCGGTGGTGCCGGGACTCCGGCCGCAGTGCCGCCGCCATCACGGACTTCCTGTGGGACAAGCGCACGGGCCTCGCCGCCAGAACGGTGAGCGCGCGGGCTGGCTGGCCGCGGGGCCCGGCGAAAAGATGGCGACCGCGGGGCGGGCGGGGTTAGGCTTGGATTGGGGGCAAGGGACGGGGGCGAGATTTGGAGAGAAGGAGAGTTGAGACCTATGAAGTGGCAGAGTAGGGAGATGAGGAGGAAGGAGGTCGGCCTGCCTGGGATGTACCGAGAAGACCTATAGGAAACTTGGATGGAGCCAGACTAGAAGGGGTGATAAAGTAAGGATAAGAGTGGTTCCAGAGCTGTGAAGGAGCAGAATATCAAAGTTGGACTCAGGGGTCCAGTCAAAGCTGAAGGGGAGGAACACATCACCTTGTCACTTGGAGCATGCAGGAAGAATTTGCCTATAGGAGTTCTGTATTTTCTGAGTAAGGAAAAAGCAAAAGATTTCGAACTTGAGAAAGGTAGGCTAGTGATTCTTTGACGGTAAAGTACTGTGAGGCCGTTTGATGGTAGTGTGTGGTGAGATGGCATTTATGTGGCTATGCTAATTAGAATGGATTACCTGGGAAAATACTGTGCTTGCCTCTTAGTATTCTACCGGCCCCAGTTATGCCAATAATGCATCAAATGCCACCCTCCTCAATTTGGGGAGGTTGGGAAGATATGCAGAATGGGAGTCAGACACTGGAATCATTAAACCTTTTGCATACCTGATTCTCATGCACCCCTCCCCCCCCAACCCAGACTTCTGTCCCTTGGCCTGTTTCATTTTACTCTGCCTTCCTATTCTCATCTTCCTGGATTGTGACAGTGATTTTTCTCTTTTTTCCTTGAAGGAAAAAAAAGATTTGTGAACCATTCCATTAACTGGAAGGTGGCCAGCTCTCAGCCAAATAGGGCTGATATTAATTAAAAACCAGTTATTGTCTACGTCTTAAGAACAAGAGTGGAGGGGCCAAATGGGATGCTGACTGTAGTTGGTGGCCTACTGCATTAAAAGCTCTCGAGGGAGAGTTGACCAAAGATGTGAGAGATGATTAAGTTACTTCAAGGGGCCCGACCCAGATCCCTGGAACTGTTAGTATTTGACATTTACCTGGTATTTGTAGAAACCTGGGAGACTGGATTTCTACCCTCAGGACACTGATAGTTTACTTGGGGAGATGAGAGGTACTCTTAATGACTGTACAACATTGATCATAACTGTAAACCAAAGCTTTATTCTATTGACTTGTGAGGAACTCAGCACCGCACAGATCTGTATCTTAGATCCTGACCAGGGATGAACTGTGGCAGTCTCCACCGGTCGTCATATACTTTCCCCTGTAATGAACTGTGTGTCCTAAACCTGAAAGTCTTCATGGAGCTGTGTTTGGAGAAAATGAGGATAGAACACTTGAGCTGAGTGGGGGGTAATGAGGGATGGGTTTGGGGACTTTGTAGAGTTTCAGCCAGAGTTAGTAGGTGGCTATACTCCAATAAGGAGGAATTGTAAGTACAGAGGAAGACTGAGGAAGTTGTGCCTGGTAAAAAGAGGCAGAAATAAAAGAGCAGATCCATGCTGTAGCTTGGCCTTAAGAAAAAAAGAGAGTAAAAAATAAAATTAAAAAAAAAATAGCAGAAAGCAGCTTAGTGTCTTTGGAGCAGGCACTCCTTGTAGAAGACTTCTGAAAACTCAGAACTTTCCTGTTTCCACTTTCCCTTCCCTTCCCTTTCAGATGCCTCATCCTCGAAGGTACCATTCCTCAGAGCGAGGCAGCCGGGGGAGTTACCGTGAACACTATCGGAGCCGAAAGCATAAGCGACGAAGAAGTCGCTCCTGGTCAAGTAGTAGTGACCGCACACGACGGCGCCGGCGAGAGGATAGCTACCATGTCCGTTCTCGAAGGTGAGGCCTCAGGAAGAGAAACTCAAACACAGGGTCACTGGCTCATTCATTTGTTCAGCAAATACTTATTGGTTATATGCTAAAACCATTAAGTAGCTGGCTAAAGGTAATGTTCAGGATAGATAACCCAAGAAGCCATTTGCGTTGCAGCGTTAAGTGTTCCAATACACAGTGAGGAACTGAGGATGTACCCAGTGGGTTTGGTTAGAAGGGCAGGATGTGGAATTCAGAGAAAACATTGCAGAGAAAGTGACATCTGCGTATGTCTGGAGGACAAGTAGGAGTCAGGTGGGGGAGTGTCTTTTGGCAGAGGGAAAGCATGTGCAAAGGACTGGGAGCTACAGGTAACTAATAAGCCAACAGATAAGACAACGTTAGATCTTCGTGGTTTCAATATTTTATTTTTTTGATAGACTTTTTTTTTGTCTTAAACTATACTTTTAAGTTCTGGGGTACGAGTGCAGAACATGCAGCTTTGTTACATAGGTATACACATGCCATGGTGGTTTGCTGTATCCATCCCCCCTGTCATGTACATTAAGTATTTCTCCCTAATGTTATCCCTCCCCAATCCGCCTGCCCCCATTTTATAAAATTTTTAAATATTATTTATTTACTTATTTATTTATTTTTGAGACACAGTCTTACTCTGTTGCCCAGGCTGGAGTGCAGTGGCATGATCTCAGCTCACTGCAAAATCTGCACATCTGGGTTCAAGCGATTTTTTGTGCTTCAGCCTTCTGAGTAGCTGAGACTACAGGCATGTGACACCATGCCTGGCCAACTTTTTTTGCATTTTTAGTAGAGACAGGGTTTCGCCATGTTGGCCTCAAACTCCTGACTTCAAGGGATCTGCCTGCCTCGGCCTCCCAAAGTGCTGGGATTACAGGCGTGAGCCACCACACCCTGCCCAGTTTTAGTATTTTAGTGGCGTGTTCAGTGGGAAGAGTGAGTTAGGGATGGTTTAGAGCAAGGGTGGATTTCAGTCAGGAAAGCTTGAGAAAGAAATAGCTCTTTGTTTCTTTGTATCACTGCTGCGGGGAGAAGGCCCCAAGAGGAAGTAGTCCTGCAGATGCCTTTTCAGGGGTGTTGGTGACATGGCAGATGTGCTTTGTTACCTCACTTCTCTGGTCCCTTAGTCCTCTCAATTACTCAATAAGTGTCTGAGAACAGTTTTCTAGCGTTACTGTTTGTCCTCACCAAGGCAGGACCTTGTCACAGGGTATGGTAGGGACTGTGGTCTGAATAGATACACCTAATGGGTATTTGTTATCCAACAGCAGTTATGATGATCGTTCATCCGACCGGAGGGTGTATGACCGGCGATACTGTGGCAGCTACAGACGCAACGATTATAGCCGGGATCGAGGAGATGCCTACTATGACACGGACTATCGGCATTCCTATGAATATCAGCGGGAGAACAGCAGTTACCGCAGCCAGCGCAGCAGCCGGAGGAAGCACAGGCGGCGGAGGAGGCGCAGCCGGACATTTAGCCGCTCATCTTCGGTGAGTGCCAGCCCAGGCCCTTCCTCTCCCCACTCTTCTGCAGGCCCTCTAGGACTCTGGTAAGTGAGAAGTATCCTTGTTCTCAGCTGAGCATTGGGGCATGAACACTGAGGTGGGCACCGAGTTTGCCTACTCTCTTGGAAGCTCTACGACTCTTGAAGGGCCCTGGAATCTGCTTTGGAGATGGATGGGCACAGAGCATTTGTGACCCCCAGTGCTCTCCCTGGCATGTTGGGCTTATTATATTGGGAGCAGCTCCTCCACCCCAGTGGCCTCCACTCTTTAATGGGGACCTTGCTTGTGAGCTGCCTTTTTCCCCCAAGCCCTGGGCTCTGTAGCCCCCTTGGCAGGCGGGCTTGGGTGGGGGCAAGGGGAGATCTGTGTCTGCCCAGAAGGGCATTGTGTAGAGCATGGGGTTGTGGGTGACATTGGCAACAACACCACTTCTCTGCTCTGCCCATGCCTCTCCCTGTTCCTGTTTTGGGTTTGGGGACTTGGGATTATGCGCCGCTCTCTCTTCTCACACCGATCCACCTTACTGCATCTGACGTGTTCCCTTCCACTGTCCCCCATCATCGTCTGTCCCCCCTGGCTGGGCGCCTGTGACCGGTGACCCCTCTACCACCCACCCCGCCTCCCTCCGGCCCCCGCTCCGACACCTGGCTTGCTCCGACCCCCCCTGCCCCCCGACAGCAGCACAGCAGCCGGAGAGCCAAGAGTGTAGAGGACGACGCTGAGGGCCACCTCATCTACCACGTCGGGGACTGGCTACAAGAGCGATGTACAAGCCAAATCGTAACAATCCTATAGCCTGTAATGGTCCCATAGCCATCCTAACGTCCCAAGCCAACCTGAGTCACAGCCTCTTGCCTTTTCTCAGTGGTGTTGTTTATCTGGGTGGTTTGAGTTGCTGTTGAGAATTGACCTCTGTTGTCCACTCCCAGCTCTCACGGCCCCTGGGTTAAAGGTGGTGGGAATGAAGCAGGGGTTTTCTTCCCCTGTGACCATCTGTATCTGTTCCCCTTCCTTCATCTCCACCCCAGGTTGCTGTCCCCTTTTTTCTTCCAACTCAGCTTATTCCCCACCTTCTCTCCCTCCCTCTCCCCGACCCTGCTGTCTTTCATTTCAGATGAAATCGTTAGCACGTTAGGAGAGGGGACCTTCGGCCGAGTTGTACAATGTGTTGACCATCGCAGGTAACTGTCAGCCCCTCCCTACTATGTGGGGATAAAGAGATGGTGGGGCTTATATGGGGCCTTTTTGCTGATCAGCCAAAGGCAGGAGTTCTTAGTCCCTTTATGGCCCTGTTCGATTTGAGACATTCTTGAGAACCCAGCAAAAGCCTCTCCTGCCAACCTACAGGGGTGGAGCGCGAGTTGCCCTGAAGATCATTAAGAATGTGGAGAAGTACAAGGAAGCAGCTCGACTTGAGATCAATGTGCTGGAGAAAATCAATGAGAAAGACCCTGACAACAAGAAGTAAGCAAGCAAGGAAGTATGTGGGGAGGCTAAGAGGCCCAACCCCTACACAGGAGAGGCTTCTAGACCTGGTTTAGGCAGACAGGAGAATTCTAGACCTTCTCATCCATTCATCTTTGGTTCATCATCTTAGAGTAGTAGAACATCAGGGTGGGAAAGGGGGGCCTGTGACCTTCCTTAATCCACTCCCCATTGTATTCAGGGCAGTTAGATTGCTCTTTAGTTTGGGCCTAGCCTAGAATGGCTTCTGTAGAGATATACCCTGGACAAAGCCGTAGAACTGAGGGTCAACATCATCGAACAATAAATTAAGCTTTTATAAGTAGAAATATGCTGATGAGGCCACAGACATTTATGCAGTAATATTTTCACATACATTCACAGTCCAAAAATAGAATAAGGACATTAAGCCAAGATATGAGACCAGTAAGTATAAAGAGCCCAGTGGTGGCTGGTGATGAATGAATGTCAGGAGTTGGGCTGGGTTTGGGGTTTAGGATAGACAGTTTGATGATCTAGGATCTATACTGTTTGGAGCTTGGCACTCAAAGGCTCTTCAGTAGTTTTTTGAACTATTTAAAATGATACAGGAAAATGTTTTGAAGCTTGGCAGGTAGTACCATTCTTCTTGGGTCTGGCAGAGGCTATTCCCTAGCTGAACTGAATTTTGGTGTTAGTATTAACTGGCTTGGTTTTACACAGGTATATGGAATCAACAGCTATGAAGTCCCTCCTTGTTGGAGGGCTGATGGGCAGATGGGAGCTCATCAGACAACCTCCCTTCCTCCATCTCTCTTCTCAGCCTCTGTGTCCAGATGTTTGACTGGTTTGACTACCATGGCCACATGTGTATCTCCTTTGAGCTTCTGGGCCTTAGCACCTTCGATTTCCTCAAAGACAACAACTACCTGCCCTATCCCATCCACCAAGTGCGCCACATGGCCTTCCAGCTGTGCCAGGCCGTCAAGTGTGAGTGGGGTGGGCTGAAGTGGACTCTGGGGCAGCCGCTCCCTTCATGGATCTCTTTGTCTTGGTTATGCACTGGTGAAGCCTCTAAACAGTCAGCTCTCTATTATCTGTGGTTCTTTTATTTACTGTCATCTTGAAACCTCTTCTGACTTAACTCCTCGACTCATGTCTTTACCGTCACTGATTGCTCTTACTGTGCATCTAACGTAGTAGCAGCTAGAAGAGAAAGCCTTTGGAATCAAAGCACTTAATCACCCTCCCCCTTTCTTTTCCTCCCCTTCTTGGGAAAGCATCAGACAGCAAACATAGATGAAAATACACTCCTTGGGCTAAAGGCTTAATATGTGTCTGGGATGAGATGTTCATTCACAGTAGAGCAGATGGGAACACAGAGTATGTAGTTCAGCTAAGGGGCAAGGTGGGGAATTTAAAGAAATACATCATTCCTTTTGATGTATTAAAGAAATACATCATCAAAACAATACAGTTTCACAGAATTGAGTTCACATAATGTCAGCTAGACACATGCCAAAGTGTGTACACTCTACAACTCAAAGCTAACTATTTTTACATCAATTGAGATACATATATATCTTATATTAAGAGAGCAGGGCTTCTTAGACCAGGCATTCCATTTAGGTATAGAGCAGAAAGCAGCCCTAGTGATTCTGGACCTGTCTCCTCACTGGTTTTGCCCTAGCTAACCAGGTCAGGGGTCAGCTGATACAAGTTAGCTCTGGCCACCTGTACCAAGCCTGACCTGGCCTTCTCCCCTGCAGTCCTCCATGATAACAAGCTGACACATACAGACCTCAAGCCTGAAAATATTCTGTTTGTGAATTCAGACTATGAGCTCACCTACAACCTAGAGAAGGTAAGTTGGATAGGGTCTGCCCATGGTTACTGGGGGCAGGCAGCTGGGGCACTTCGCCTCTTGCCAAGCTCTTTCTTACTTTGTCCTCCCACATTTTCTTCCTGTCTGGCTCCAACTGGGTAAAACTAGATAGGTTGAAAGGGAGGGATCTCTTAAGACTTAAATTGGGAGAGAACTTGTACAAGGGACTTCAGATAACTTTCCAGTAGGGTGAAATTTTTTAAGATTCTTGGTTTGGACTTTTTTTCTTAATTTATGTATTTTTGGGGGGATGGACTCTCGCTCTGTTGCCCAGACTGGAGTGAGTGGCACAACTCAGCTCACTGCAACCTCTACCTCCCAGGTTCAAGTGATTCTCCTGCCTCAGCCTCTGGAGTAGCTGGGGTAAAGGCACCCACCACCATGCCTGGTTGGGTTTTATATTTTTAGTAGAGGTAGAGTTTTGCCATGTTGGCCAAGCTGGGTCTTAAATTCCTAACCTCAGTTGATCTGCCTGTCTCGGGCTCCTGAAATGCTGGGATTATAGGTGTAAGCCACAGCACCCAGCCTGTACTTCTTTTCTGAGATGTATATTCCTGTGAGTTAGGAAAGCTTGGCTTCCTTGACCAACTGGAAATAGTGGAGATCTCAGACCTAAAGCTCTTCCTCCCTTGATCCCTTTGCTACATGTTATATATTTTTAGCAAAACCCCTTTGCTACATGTTACAGATGTTCAGCAAAACCTCTTTTGCTACATGTTAAATATTTTCAGAAAAACTACATATCGGGCAATTGGGTATAGCCTTCAGATGCTTACAGATACGCACACTGTTGCACAATCATTCCTTAATCCTTTTACTCCCCAATCCTAAAAGTACTCTGCTGGTTGTGGTGGAAGCTGTAAAGCAGGAAATTTCCCAGCGCTTGTCAGGGCAGGCAGGAGATCACAGTTGCTTTTTTAAGGTTCAGAAGCACCATAGGGAATAGTGGTAGAATCTCAGTCTGGGTGCAGAGGTTCATTCTCTTCCTCCTCTGCTCCTAGAAGCGAGATGAGCGCAGCGTGAAGAGCACGGCTGTGCGGGTGGTAGACTTTGGCAGTGCCACCTTTGACCATGAGCACCATAGTACCATTGTCTCCACTCGCCATTACCGAGCACCAGAGGTCATCCTTGGTAAGGGAGGGCAAGGCTGTCCGAGTATGTGAGATGATGTGGTGAGGGTGGGGCTGCCTAAGCCTCCTAACACCTTTTCCTTCCCGTTCTCACCCAGAGTTGGGCTGGTCACAGCCTTGTGATGTGTGGAGTATAGGCTGCATCATCTTTGAGTACTATGTGGGCTTCACCCTCTTCCAGGTAAGTGGTGGGGTGTCTTACTTGACCACCTGGCATTCTTCTACCTGGTTCCTTTGTTGTCTGCTGAGGACCTGCCTACTCAGTTCTGCATCTTCTGGCAACTGGGCCTCAGCGTCCCCTTTTTAGTCCCAGGCTCAGTTCTGTTTTTGTTTCCCAGACTCATGACAACAGAGAGCATCTAGCCATGATGGAAAGGATTTTGGGTCCTATCCCTTCCCGGATGATCCGAAAGACAAGGTGAACCTTGAATGGGTGCTAGTTAACCCTTTTCCTCTTCTCTCCACAGAATTAATTGGTCTATTTCATATCATTTTCTTTTTCTTTGACACCTCCTCTCCCCACAGTTACTTTCAGATGGGGAAATATGGGAATTGTAACAAGGTTGACCTTCTGATTCCTCAACCTCCCCTTCCCCTCTAGAAAGCAGAAATATTTTTACCGGGGTCGCCTGGATTGGGATGAGAACACATCAGCTGGGCGTTATGTTCGTGAGAACTGCAAACCACTTCGGGTGAGCTGGGCTGGGGATAAATAGTGCCCATCATCCAGAAATCACTTCCTTCTTAGGGTGGTTTGCCCCTGGAATGCTCTTCACAAGCAGAGGGTTAGGAAAGGAGGGGAGGAAAGCTGAAAGAAGACATCTTTGGTCAACAGAGGAGAGATAAGAGGGAGTGGTTTTGTGGAGGGAAGGAGGTTAGACAGCCTAACCTTGAGACAACCAGAGATCAAAGCAATGTCCTGGATTCTTTAGGTCAGACAGAAAAGAATAAACTACCTTTGAAGAGCTTACATTTTAATGAGGCGCTAAAGAAGATTCATGAAGTTGACAAGGATATACAAGTAGAAAGAACTTTCAAAGATTATGGAGTAATTGTGCTAGTGGGAAGGTAGGTTGAGCTATAATATCAGAAACATTGGTCCTGGTGTGGTCGTGGTAAGGTAGCCTTCAAACTGGCTGCAAGCAGAGCCTTGGTTCTCCAATAATGAAAGGTAGGGCCTTGAAGAAGGCAGGGTTTGTAAGGCATCCTGCCTCACCTTTTTCCTGCCCTCCTCCACCAGCGGTATCTGACCTCAGAGGCAGAGGAACACCACCAGCTCTTCGATCTGATTGAAAGCATGCTAGAGTATGAACCAGCTAAGCGGCTGACCTTGGGTGAAGCCCTTCAGCATCCTTTCTTCGCCCGCCTTCGGGCTGAGCCACCCAACAAGTTGTGGGACTCCAGTCGGGATATCAGTCGGTGACGATCAGGGCCTGGACCCCCCTGCATCTCTTATAGCAGTGGGTGTCCAGTCCAGGACACTGGTGCTTTTTTATACAAGAGAACAGAGCCAGAATTCACTCCTTCCTCCTGGCTCTCTATATATCTGTGAATATGTGAAATAGTGTAAATATGAAAGAACTTGTACCTATCACTTCAACCCCTGCCTTGTACATAATATTATTCCATCCACACACTTTCTACCCACCCTCACTTGCCCACTCATATGGAGTTGGATGGGGGCCGAGTGAGGTATCCAGGTGGCATCTATCCCATGTTTTATAAGGAATTTTGTACAGTCTTTGTGAAATAAAATGATGTGCTTCATTTGACCCCCATCCCTGGAGTTGGAGGTTTGGGAATACTGGGGTGGAGGGATGAAACGATTGGCAACCTTTCTGAGTTTGGGTATGAAGGGAGTCCTTCTTACCCTCCAAAATTAACCAGAGCCAAGCTACCAGTTTATTTCCCCTGTCCACCTTATCTTAGGGGAGGGTAGTGATGGGTGGGGCAGCATTTCTTTCAGGTTAGAATAGAGAAGTGTTATAAGGTGACACTTTTCGGATGTGGAATTATGAGTGTTGGGAAAGATCTGGCTCCTAGAGCCATTAGGTTGCACCCCAGTATAGAGCCAGAAACCCAGGTTGAAGACGTACTCAACTGGGCTCCTGGGGGCTGCCGTGGCTGGTCAGAAGGCTCCCGTCGTCCATCTCGGGAGACTAGGAAGGACGAATTCCTACGACAGGGCTGTTGGGAAATGTAGTTCGTTAGTGGAAGGAAGTCACGTGGAAGAGGGGCGGTACCTGGCTGTGGGCACTGGGTTAGAGGTATCACGTGGGAGTGCTTCCGTCTTAACTTTTGGCCAAGACGCCGGCGCAACCCACGGCCGCTGCGGGGATCCTTGTGGCTCTTCCGGTCCGTGGAACCAATCCGTGCAGAGAGAAGCGGGGCGAACTGAGGCGAGCGGAGTGGACTCTCGTGGCCACCGCTGCCGCCACTGCTGCGGCAGGGGCGTGGAGGGCTGGGAGCGGTGAAGGCCGCAGTTGCAAACATGGCTCAGAGCAGAGACGGAAACCCGTTCGCCGAGCCCAGCGAGCTTGACAACCCCTTTCAGGTGACTTGTGCCTGCCGGCCTCTTTTGGGCAGTCAGGTTGATTCTTCTGTAGGATCGGGCTAACTTGAATCCCCGTTCGTGACATTTGATCCTAGGAAGGGCTGCCACGTGCGGGGACAGTGACTCCAGACCAGCGAGCATTCTGGGGGGGCGGGCCCTGCCCCTTAAAGGGCTGGTGTTGGCAGTATTGGATGATGGATTTGAGGCCAATGTTGTCCCAGGCCTGGGATAACAGAGTGGCACCGAAAGTGCCGTACTTAGAGCCACAAGCAGTTTGGGAAAGGTCCCTGGGAATTCCCCTAGGTGGCACCGGGTGCCAGCTGAGCCCCAGGTCTCTGCCCGCAGGACCCAGCTGTGATCCAGCACCGACCCAGCCGGCAGTATGCCACGCTTGACGTCTACAACCCTTTTGAGACCCGGGAGGTGAGCTACTGGAGCCCCTAGGGGAGGGCAAGGAAGAGGAAGGTTTGACGATAAGACTAGTCGGCTTGGGTACAGGGGACTTTTCTGCATGCACAGGATGGAAGAGGCACTGTGATCTTAGCCCCCTGAGAGAGACTGGTTGGCCGTGGGATGCCTCATCCTTCTAGGGCCACCAGGGCCACCAACGCAAATGGTATGAGCTCTAAAAGTCAGTCCTGGGAAGATCTGGACGCTGACAAGGCCTTAACCAATGTTCTGTTTGGGAAGGCTTCCTTGAAGAAAAGCGTTGGGCTGGTTGGAGTTTAGGTAGGCTGTGCAGTTTGAAGGTTACTGTATGTATGTATGAGGGGGACTACGTGTGTTTGTCCACTAGATTAGAAAATGGTGAGTTGTAAGAAGTTAAGGGGTTTTCATAGTACTTAAAACTTATTTAAAAAAAAAAAAAAAAGGGAGCCGAGCATGATGTGCACGCCTATAGTCCTAGCTACTGGGGAGGCCGATGGAGACCATCCTGAGCAACATAGCGAGACCCCATCTCTTGAAACATTTACAAAATTGGCTAGGTGTAGTGGCACATGCCTGTAGTTCTTGCTACTTGGGAGGCTGAGATGGGAAGACTGCTTGGGTCCAGGAATTTGAGGCTTTGATGAGTGATGATTGCACCACTGCACTCCAGCCTGGGTGGTAGAAAGAGACTCCTACACCCCATCCCCAGAAAAAAAGAAAAACCTACAGTTAAGTGGGGAGACATGGTAGACGAGTGATTTGAATCCTTGTTAAAGAATTGGATGTGAGGGATGATGAGGCTGCTACAGGTCATCATAGAGTTCTGACAGAAATTCAACAGAACTAGCTTCCTAACAAATGAGGGAAGGGCTGCTTCCTTACATCATGAGTTCTGTGTTGTGAGGGACTAGATGATCACTAAAGTCTTTCCGTCAACAGCCACCGCCAGCCTATGAGCCTCCAGCCCCTGCTCCATTGCCTCCACCCTCAGCTCCCTCCTTGCAGTCCTCGAGAAAGCTCAGCCCCACAGAACCTAAGAACTATGGCTCCTACAGCACTCAGGTACAGGAGGTGTGCAGGTGAGAGCTGGGGAGAAGGGCCAGTCCTGGGGCCCAGGGCTCACATCTATCTCCCTCTGCTCACACTGGGCAGGCTTCAGCTGCAGCAGCCACAGCTGAGCTGCTAAAGAAACAGGAGGAGCTCAACCGGAAGGCAGAGGAGTTGGACCGAAGGGAGCGGGAGCTGCAGCATGCTGCCCTGGGGGGCACTGCTAGTAAGTTGTAGGGTGGGAAAGAGCGCCTGAGTGTTTGGGAGGAGCAAAAACAGGTCTTAAGAGCCTGGGCTCTGGAGTTAGACTGCTGAGTTTGAATTTTGGGGATCATGAGCGAAGTTACTTAATCTCGAATGCCTCCGTTTCCCTATTTATAAAATGAAAACCATGTTTGCATCTAATTGACAGGACTGTTTTGAAGGTTAAACAAGATCATATATGTGAAGTGCTTGGTATGGTGCTTTGATGTTTTAAATAGTAATAAACACTTAGTATTATTATTTATTTTATTTTATTTTATTTATTTATTTATTTTGGAGACAGAGTTCCACTCTGTCGCCAGGCTGGCTACAGTGGTGTGATATCGACTCACTGCAGCCTCTGCCTCCTGGGTTCAAGCGATTCTCCTGCCTCAGCTTCTTGAGTAGCTGGGATTACTGGTGTGCACCACCACGCCCAGCTAATTTTTGCATTTTTAGTAGAGATGGGGTTTTACTGTGTTGGTCAGGCTGGTCTCGAACTCCTGACCTCATGATCTGCCTGCTTTGGCCTCCCAATGTGCTGGGATTACAGGCATGAGCCACTGTGCCCGGCCACACTTAGTATTATTTTTTTCACTCTCCCTTGTCTCCTTGGAACCCAAATTGGAGATAAAAAGAAGATCTAGGGCTGGGTATGGTTCCTCATGCCTGTTGGGAGTCCAAGGCAGGCAGGTTGCTTGAGCTCAGGAGTTAGAGACCAACCTGAACAACATAGTGAGATTTGCCTCCAAAACATTGAAGAAAAAAATCAGCGTGCACAGCCAGGCACAGTGGCTCATGCGTGTAATCCCAGCACTTTGGGAGGCTGAGGCTGGTGGCTCATCTGAGGTCAGAAGTTCGAGACTAGCCTGGCCAACATGGCAAAATCCTGTTTCTACTAAAAATACAAAAATTGGCCAAGTGTGGTGGCTCATGCCTGTAATCCCAGCACTTTGGGAGGCTGAGGCAGGCAGATCATAAGGTCAGGAGATCAAGACCATCCTGGCCAACATGGTGAAACCCTCCCTCTACTAAAAATACAAAAATTGAGCCGGGCGCGGTGGCTCAAGCCTGTAATCCCAGCACTTTGGGAGGCCGAGGCGGGTGGATCACGAGGTCAAGAGATCGAGACCATCCTGGTCAACATGGTGAAACCCCGTCTCTACTAAAAATACAAAAACATTAGCTGGGCATGGTGGTGCGTGCCTGTAATCCCAGCTACTCAGGAGGCTGGGGCAGAACTGCCTGAACCTGGGAGGCGGAGATTGCGGTGAGCCGAGATCGTGCCATTGCACTCCAGACTGGGTAATAAGAGCAAAACTCCGTCTCAAAAAAAAAAAAAAAAAATACAAAAATTGGCTGGACGTGGTGGCACGTGCCTGTAATCCCAACTACTCGGGAGGCTGAGGCAGGAGAATCGTTTGTACCTGGAAGGCAGAGGTTACAGTGAACTGAGATCGCACCACCATTGCACTCCAGCCTGGGCAACAAGAGCAAAACTCCTCCTCAGAAAAAAAAAAAAAAACTATAGGCTGAGATGAGAGGGTTGCTTGAGCCCAGGAAGTTGAGACTATTGTGAACCGTGGTCATACCACTACCTTCCAGCCTGAACGACAGAGTGAGACCCTGTTTCAAAAAAAAAAAAGAAAAAAGAAAAAGAAAGAGACAGGATTCAGGGATGGAGAGAAGAGGGAGTGATTCCTTTGTTGGTCTCTGCCTTACTTCTGGAGTCCCCTGTTCTTTTTGTGCCTTACAGCTCGACAGAACAATTGGCCCCCTCTACCTTCTTTTTGTCCAGTTCAGCCCTGCTTTTTCCAGGACATCTCCATGGAGATTCCCCAAGAATTTCAGAAGACGGTATCCACCATGTACTACCTCTGGATGTGTGAGTAGTGGGAAGCCGTTTGGAGGAAGTTACAGGTAGATCTTTTTTTTTTTTTTTTTTTTTTTTTTTTGAGACCAAGTCTCGCTCTGTCGCCCAGGCTGGAGTGCAGTGGTACTATTTCAGCTCACTTAAATCTGTGCTTCCAGGTTCAAGGCAGGATTCTCCTGCCTCAGCCTCCTGAGTAGCTAGGATTACAGGCGCATGTCACCACGCCCAGCTAATTTTTTTTTTTTTTCTTGAGTCTTGCTATTGTTGTACAGGCTGGAGTGCAATGGTGCGATGTCATTCACTGAAGCCTCTGCCTCCTGGGTTCTCGCAATTCTCCTGCCTCAGCCTCCCCAGTAGCTAAGATTATAGGCACCTGCCACCACACCTGGCTAATTTTTGAATTTTTAGTAGAGACAGGGTTTCACAATGTTGGTTAGGCTGGTCTCAAACTCCTGACCTCATGATCCGCCCGCCTCAGCCTCCCAAAGTGCTGGGATTACAGGCATGAGCCACCACGCCCAGCCACAGGTAGATCTTTTAACTGCCCTGGGGGTCGGCTCACCTAGAACCAAACACTTCACCTCTGTTTAGAACTCAGCAGCCTGCTAGCCAGTGTTTTTGTCGTCTCCCCA